TGGCAGCGGAGTTGGGGAAACCCCCGGGCGCCCGCGTCGGAACAGGCGGCGGGAGCCCCTCGGCCGGCGGTGGGCTTCGGCTCATGCCCTGGTTTGGGGCTGGGGGGTTGCCCCCCGCACCCCGGCTGAGCCCCCCGCCGCACCCTCAGCACTGGGAATGGGGGCGGCGCAGCCCCAGCGTGGGCTTGTTTCACCCCACTCGCGGGTCGTGCCTCAGTTTCCCGACCTGTCCCTGGGGGGGATTTGCACTGGGGGGGTCCTGCACCTCGCTTGGGGCTGGGGGGAAGGTTTTTCTCGCCCAGGCAGATCCCTCCCCGTCCCCCCCAGCCTTTGAGCGGCGCCGCTGGCCGGGCTCCAAGTTCCTCCATTTAATGTCTGCACTCGCGGCCTACGCCCTGCTGCTTCACCTGGCACCGGCGCGGGGTTTCACCGAGCCCCCCGATCCGAGGTGCTGGGGGACCTCGGCGGTGGGGAGAGACCCCCCCTCGGCACCGCGAGGGCCGCCCCGAGCGCGGCTGTGAGTCACGCTGCCATCACCGCCGGGGCTGGTGGCGTCCTCCGGTTCCCACCGGTGCCCCAGGGCGGTGGCGAGGCGGGAGGGCGGCGCGGGGTGCAGTGGGGCGGCCGGGTCCCTGCTGGGCTCCTGTTCCCTGGGTGCCAGAGGCGGGGGCGGGTTTGGGGGGGGGATGCCCGAGCTGCCTATCTGGCTACAGCAGAGGGGACCGGGCTGAGCCACTGCGTCCCCACCGAGGTGGCAATCACTCCCCTCGCCATCAGGGCACGATGAAAGGTGGGGAGGTCACCGCTCAGCGCTGCCGCCGCCTCTCCTGCTCCCCGCTGCCAGCAGGCAAGCGAAGGCAGTGTCCTTCAGCTCCCTCGTCCCCCTCAGTGGTCCCGGCACTGCTGTGGCTTCTGAAGCGGGTCCCCCCAGGATGAGTTGGGGACAATCTTTGGTCCCCGAGACCACCCCTTTGGCCGCCCGGCGCTCACATGACCCCTCCGTCTCTGTCCTGCAGGTGGTCAGTACGGCACGACCCTGCACTCCTCCTTCAGCTCCCGCTCCCAGAGCAATGGCTTGGACACCAAAGCCTCGGTACGTACTGGGGGGGGTTGTCCCCCGCCCTGCACCGGCACCCATCACTGTGGCAGCTGGGGATGCCGGCGGAGACCCAGATGCCAGCTGTAGCTTTGGTTGTGCCAAGGGAGGCTCTTGGCTCCGTTCTTTCCTCTCCCCGTGGTGGGGATGGAGGGACAGGCTCGCAGGCACCCCCTCCCCCCGCGCTTTCCCCCTGCAGCTGTATCAGCCGCTGGCCAAGAAGGATTTTGGCACGCTGAAGGGCAGCAGCTGGTCCTCGCGCTCGGCGGTGGACCTCACTCCGCACAAGCGGATGGCGACTATCAGCAACGGGGGCCTGGCGAAGGGCCAGGGCTACAGCACTGGCTATGCCATGTCGCAGGCCACCAACACCTCGCCGCGGCCCAGCTCCTTCCATGAGCGCAACTACCGGTCCCGGCAGAACTTCGACACCCTCTCGCTGCGCTCCCTGCGGCTGGCCGACGGGCCGCTCCAGCCCACCGCCATCGCGGATGACCGCTATAGCGTCATCTCAGAGCAGCTGGACCCCGTGGGTCACCGTCCACTCTACAAAAGCCAAGGCAACGGTGGCTTCACCCGCTCCTACACCTTCGAGAGGCAGATGAGCGCCGGCTCCGCCAAAGCCGCCTCCGACTGGCTGGACGGCAGCGAGGTGACCCAGAGCCGCACCATCCGGGCGCCCGCCATGCGCACGCTACAGCGCTTCCAGAGCAACAACCGGTCACGGCTTAGCACCGGCTCCTTCGGCAGCATCCAGGCGGCCTCGCAGGCGGGCATGGGGAGCTCGTACATGGGGATGGTGGAGCACAGCTCCCGCGCGCCCTCCGTGCGCAGCCTGGCCGAGTCCAGCCACCGCCTCCAGGACCAGCGCGCCATGGAGATGTACAACGGGCACAGCACGCTGCTCAGCCACGCGTCGGGGGGGTGAGTGCCACCAGCGCTGGTCCGGCACCAGCTTAGTCCTTGTCCCCAACTTAGTCACTTGGCCAGTTGAGGGCAAAACCCTCCCTCTTTTGCCTGCTGTTACCTTGCTGCAAGGGATGCAGGAGGGGTGAGATGGTGGGCACAATTTGGCCCCATAGTGATGGACCGTGGCTTGAGGACCTCCAAGCGTGTCCTGCATGTGGCCTTTGCTCCTCTCACGGACACATGCTGAGACACGAGGGTACGAAGATGCTCATTCAGCTGGGTCTGGAGTCCCGTGCCCCAGGAGTGTGGCAGGGAGGGAGATGGGTTGACGCGTCTCCTCCAAGATGCGGGACATGGTGGGGTGCAGAGGTGGAGGACCCCTATGGGATGCTCTGCTCGGGCTCTTCCTCACCTGCCTGTGGCTTCCAGGTTTGATGACATCGACCTGCCCTCCGCAGTGAAATACCTGATAGCCAGCGACCCCAACCTGCAGGTCCTGGGTGCTGCCTACCTCCAGCACAAATGCTACAGCGACAGCAATGCCAAGAAGCAGGTGAGCACCCAGGAGCTGAAAGGGAAGGGGCTGTCCCCAGCCCCTCTGCCATGGTAGGGCACCCTGGGGAGGGCAGAGGAGATGGAGGGAGCCTCAGCTGAACAGGAGAGCGGCTGGGCGTCTCAACCCGACCGGGCTCTCCCCTCCCAGGCCCGCAGCCTCCAGGCCATGCCCAAGCTGGTGAAGCTGTTCAACAGCCCCAACCAGGAGGTGCAGCGCCATGCCACGGGCGCCATGCGCAACCTCATCTACGACAATGCCGAGAACAAGCTGGCGCTGGTGGAGGAGAACGGGATCTACGAGCTCATGCGGACACTGCGGGAGCCCGACGATGAGCTCCGCAAGAACGTCACAGGTTGGAGATGATGGCGGGGTGGGCAGGGGTCCTCGTCCCTGGAGGCAGCATGTGGTGCCTCCACCCCATGAGTAAAGCTGGGATGACATTTCACAGGGATGCGCTCTTTGCATCCTTGTTACCCAGCCTGTCCCATGGCTGCTCCTGGCTGCGGGTGGTCGGTGTGAGCCCCCTGGTGTGAGCATGTCGGGGTGGACATGCTCTCCAGCCATTCCTGGGACTGAGGATCCCCCTCCCTGCAGGGATCCTGTGGAATCTCTCCTCCAGTGACAACCTGAAAGATCGCCTGGCCCGGGACACACTGGAGCAGCTCACGGACCTGGTACTGGTCCCCCTCTCCGGGCTGGGGGGCTCGGGTGTCATCCAGCAGAACCCCTCGGAGGCAGAGATCTTCTACAACTCCACGGGCTTCCTCAGGTACCTGCTCTGGGCTGGCTCCAGTCCTCCCACTGTGGGTAAAGTTTTGGGTAGAGGAAGAGACACCATCTGTGGTGCGTACATAGGGAGCGAGGTCCCCAGGGCTCGTTTCTGGGGTCCCAATCCCTTGCAGCACTTGTGCCTCAAGGCAAAGCCTGGGAGAGGTATTAGCTGCCCTCCCCGCAGTGCTGCCCAGTGGCCGGAGGGGTTGGCCGTGGGGAAGCCCCTTCTTGCCGTGATGGACCCGTGTTCCCCGTGCAGGAATCTCAGCTCTGCCAGCCAGCAGACTCGGCAGAAGATGCGTGAGTGCCACGGGCTGGTGGACTCCATGATCCACTATGTGAACAGCTCCCTGGAAGTGGGCAAGTCAGAGGACAAGGTGAGCCCCGGGAGCTGAGTGCTGGGAGAGTTTGGGTGCCCTCAGATGGGGTGCTGCTCCCTCCCTCCTGGTGGCCACCTGGCCATCATGGTGCAAAGGCACATCTTGATGTGATGGTGGGAAAACCAATCTGGCTCTGTCTGGGCTTACTGGGCACAGTAGGGCATTGCTGGTGTCATCGGGGTGACGCTTGCCATGGAGCCCCATGGGGTCGCGCCCCAGGGGATGTGCCAGCTGGAGGTGCCCTGGCAGGCAGCACAAGAACTGACACCCTCATGTCCTATCTCCCATCAGAGCGTGGAGAACGCCGTCTGCGTCCTGCGCAACCTCTCCTACCGCCTGTACGACGAAATGCCCCCGTCCTCCCTCCAGCGCCTGGAAGGCCACAGGAGGAACAACAGCAGCATGGTGACGGGGGAGCTGGTGGGCTGCTTCAGCCCCCAGAGCAAGAAAGCACGCGAGGTCAGCGGCTGGGAAGTGGTGGGCACCGTGATGGCTGTGTCACCTGGGGCGGGGTTGGCACCGGGAAGCAGCTGGCGGTGGAGGTGACGCTGGGGTGGAGGTAGACGCCAGCCTCGGCTGATGGGTGGGACATGTGGGTGAGCTCAGCGGAGGGTGAATCAGGTGTGTGGTGTGAATTAGGGTGCCGAACCCCCGCTTCGCCATGCCACGGGGCGTGACGCAGCCGGGGCGACCTGCTGGGTCGCTGCCAGCCTGGAGCTGCCCAACGGTCGAGGCCGGGTGCACGGGGAAAAGGGGACACATGCAGCAAGGGATGCTGCAGAGGGGACATCCCCTGTGAGTCTAACAGCGCTGCCCCCATCCCCACAGCACTACCTGAATGCGGACATTGTCACCTTCACGGAGGTCTCCAAGGACCCCAAGGGCATGGAGTGGCTCTGGAACCCGCAGATCGTGGGCATCTACAACCGGCTGCTGCAGCGCTGCGAGCTCAACAAGCACACGACAGAGGCGGCCTCGGGTGCCCTGCAGAACATCACTGCTGGGGACCGCAGGGTGAGGGCACGGGAGGGGAACGTCCCCTGGGGCTCGCCCCGTCTTGCCTGGCTGTCCCCACCACCTGGCCAGTCACAGCTGTGCCCAGGGAGGGGCTGCACCTCCCTGAGGTTGGTACCAGCCTTTCCTGGGTGGGGGACGTGGCCATCATGCCACTCACCACCTGGACATGGTCACCCTGACCTGGCCCCGTTGAGCAAGAGGAGGAGGAGGAAGAAGATGGGGTGGGAGGAGGAGGAGGCAGCCGGTGGGTCCCTGGTGGGTGTCTCCAAGTGGGTGTTTGCCTTGGCAGTGGGCAGGCGTGCTGAGCCGGCTGGCCCTGGAGCAGGAGCGCATCCTGAACCCCGTGCTGGACCGCGTCCGCACCGCCGACCACCACCAGCTGCGCTCCCTGACAGGGCTCATCCGCAACCTGTCCCGCCACGCCCGCAACAAGGACGAGATGTGTGAGTGCCGGGAAGGGACGGGCAGGGCCGGGGCTGCGGGGAGGAGCCCGACGGATGCCCTTCACCCTTTTGCTCCTCGGTCTGGCCTCCGGTTACCTCTGGCCACGTCTCAGCACCTTCCTGCCGGCTGCGCCCCTGCTCACGCTGAGTGCGCGGTGGCCAGTCCATCCCCAGTAACTGAACACCCCCCACACGTTCTGCTCTGCCTCCAACCCCACCATCTCACTTGGCTTTGCCCCTGTCCCCCAACTCCTCTCCCAGGTGCCAGGGAGTCTCAGCAGAGACTGCAGAGAGGAAAGGGCTTGCAGATGTCCCTGGTGCTGCCCTGCGGGTCCTTGGCTGGACCCTCTGTCCCCTCACTGCCCCTGAGAGGTTGCAGAGTTCGTACCCAGGCTGCCATGTGTCCTCTGGGTCTGGCCACCAGCTCTGACATGATGCCTTTGCCCACCAGCGACCAAGGTGGTCAGCCACTTGATCGAGAAGCTGCCGGGGAGCATGGGGGACAAGGCGCTGCCCGCCGACGTCATCGTGAACATCATCGCGGTCCTCAACAACCTGGTGGTGGAGAGCCCCATGGCCGCCCGTGACATTGTTTACTTTGATGGCCTCAGGAAGCTCTTCTACATCAAGAAGAGAAGGGACAGGTGGGAGCTCCCTGTCCACTCTGCCGTCCCAGCTTGGGCCTGGGGTCCAGTCCTGCTTCCTCCCCTGGTCCAGCGAGGTGGAAGAGGGTCACAACCAGTTTCCCTTCCCAAGGCTTGGTGGTGGGAGTCCCCAGACCAGCTCAGGGTGGCCTCATGGCCCCCTTCCAGCCCTTTGCCACCTCCTCAGGACACCCCACCACAGGGCTGCCCATCGCTGCAGCTACCTTCTTCCCATCTGAGTGCTTCTCACCTCTCCTGCCAGAAGCGCTTGCCACCCTGCCCATTGCAGTGGGCTCCAGCCTTTAGTCTTCTGCCTCTTCCCACCAGTGCTAAGTCCTCAGCCCCTCCGGGCTCTTCTGGGGTGGTATCCTTGGGCTGATGGGCACCATCCCGTGGCCAGCGGTACCCAAAGCTCATTGCATCCTGTCCCTGTCCCAGCTCGGACAACGAGAAGTCCTCCAGAGCGGCGGCCAGCCTCCTGGGCAACATGTGGCAATACACCAAGCTCCACCGGGACTTCAAGATGGTAGGTACCACCCTGTGGTGCCTCCTCCAGCCGGCGGGGTGCTGGGGTGGGTCCTGAGGGTGGATCTCAAGGGAGTCAAGGCCAGGGGCTTCACCCCGGAAAGCCACGCCACCCAAATGCTCCCAGGCATACGATGGGCCCCAGCTCCACGCCTCCCCCTCCTGAAGGGGTGGGGACCTCCCCAGAGCATCATCCCTGTGGTGGCACCTGCACCAGTGGGGTGGGGACAGCCACGTGCCCAATGTGGGGACAGCGTGGCCCCGTCAGTGCCAGAGCAGAGCGGGTTTGTGTTCGCATTCCCACCATCCAGCGAGGCGCGGGCAGGGGTGTCCTCGGGCAGGAAAGGTGATGGCACTGGCGTCCCCACCATGACGCGTGTCCTGTCTCCTTGCAGAAGGGGTACCGGAAGGAGGACTTCCTCGGCCTGTGAGGACAACCCCAGGAGCCGGACTGCCCAGCCCTGACTCTCCCCGCTGGGATGCTCCTTGCCGCCAGCCATGCCTTGGGGAGGCTGCTCGCCGCCGGACCCCCGCTCCGTAGCGTAGTCCCTGCCGCGTCCCTCGTGCCTCCCGCCTCCGCCAGGTCCCCCTTCCCTGGGCGGGGGGACACTTGTCCTCCCTCCTGCCGCAGCCTTAAACCCAGCAACTGCTTTTGGCTCTGCTGGGTTCCCGGTTAGTTGGGGACAGCCCCTGGGGACCCTGCCTGCTCCTTGGAAGCCGGCTGCAAAGCTCAGCTTGTCTCGTGGCTTGGCGGAGGGGCAGGAGCTGCAGGGCTTTGGGGAGGCTCCTGCAAAGCAATGCTGGTGGGAAGGGGGTTTCGGGGCGCACGCCATCCCAACTCCCCAATCCGCAGTGCACCGGGAGCTGGGAGGGTGCCGGGGCCACCACGCCGTGGGTTGCACATGCTCTGCCCTGGCTGGGTGGGGATGGGGCTTCGCATAGTTCAGGGGGTTTGTGGGAGGTCTGAGGTGGCTTCCCAAATTTTTATGAGGTTGGCACTGTGGCTGCAAGGTGCTGGGAAGCGGTCGGCGACACGGTGCTGAGTCCCCCCTTTGCCAGAGTGCGGGGGACTGTGACTGAGGCTGCCCATGCCCTTGCTGCAAGAAGCCGGGGGATCTCTGAGCCACACCATCGCTCTCCGTACACCCTGCGGGGACTGTCCCTGTGCAGGCAGAGCTGCTGCTCCTTGCCGGCTGCTCTGCTCAGGGCTGGGCCTGGCCAGTGCTGCGTAAGCAAGATTTGTGCAGGGCCAGCCGGCTCGTGTTTGCTGGGCGGCGTCTCCCCGCGGGGTGGGGAGATGCCCTTGGTGCCCGGCATGGCTGGCGCAGGTGGGGCAGCGGGTCCAAAGCTCTCCCTGCCGTGGTGGCGGCCAGGCCGGGTCGCACGGGTGGGCTGCGGGGTGGCTTCGGTCTGCCGGTGGGTTTGGGGCTGGGTGGGGAGACCCTGTGCTTGGGGGGCATTGCGCACCCCATTTGGGAAATGAGGTAGAGTAGGTACAGGGGGTGGGAGGGCAGGGGAGGCTGGGCGGCGCTGCCAGGAGGGGCCGCATCCAGGGCTGATGTGGCTCCCGGGCATGCTGGGACCCGGCGCTGTTCAGGCTGGGGCGTCACGGTGCGTTTGTCTCCCCAGCTCTCCGTGTACAAGCTCCCCGAGCCCTGTGTATCCCTGAAATAAAGGCCTTGAACGATGCCTGCTGCCCCTGTGCTCGGCTGGCACGCGGGAGGGGAGGAGAGCACCCCGTGTGGGAGAGCTCATCCTGCAGTGCCACCCCGCTCGCCGCGTCCGGGCGTTGCTCCAAGTCAGCGTGGTGGGGACGCCGGCATGGGGATGCGATGCAGCACAGAGATGGGACCCAGCACAGTGCTGCCTGCCCTGCTGCCCATGGCGGGGGGAGCCCCGCCGGTGGCACCCGCGTCCCCGCAGATGGACGACACCCGCTTGGAGCAGCAGCATTTTATTGCCACGGGGGTTCCTGTGGGGGAGAGGGTGCTGCAGCCGCTCCCATCGGGCATTTCGCAGCCACTGGGACTGGGGCACGTTGCTTCTCTGAGAGCATTACCCATCCCAACGCTTGTCCATCACGCAGGAAAAATGTTCTTGCTGCCCACGGCGAGGGAGGGGGGCCCAGCACCCAAGGGTGCCCAGGCACTGCGGGCAGGGGTGTCCCCTGGTGATGGTTTTCTACCACAGAGTGTGCTGCCAGAAGGAGCCAGCTCCTGTCTTTCCCACCGAGACCTTGGCTTTGGTCCCATCATAAATCCCGGACTCCTCTGGCTGTGATCTGTGTCCGTGTGGCCCCGCAGGGAAGGGGCACGCTGCCTTTGCTGGCCTGTGGCCCCACTCAGATGTCATCCTCCGTCACCAGGCAGTAGAAGTCCGTGCGGGCGCTGTAGTTGCGCGATCCCAAGTCTGAGATGTCGAGCTCGGGTCTCTGGCCGTCCCTCAGCTGTGTGTCCTCCGTCGTGCCGGCAGCTGAAGCCATGGGAGCGCCGAGGCGGGGAGGCGGGGGGCTTCTGAAAGCGCATCCTCGGAGGCCTGGAAGGAGGGGGGAGGTGGGTTTTAGGCAGTGGGGAAGGGGCTAAACCCAGCCCGCCTGCCACGGGAGGGTGAAGCAAAGCCCAAAGGTGACCTGCAGTGCACATCTGCCCCCCCAGGAGAAGAAGCAGGGGACAAGGACCTGTACCAAGGTCCCCATCTGGGTGGAGGTCTCCACCGCTGTCCAGGTAGCTGCTGTGCAGGATCAGCATGGGGTCCTTGTCCTCCTGCAGCTGGGTCTGCGGGTCCCCCATGGTCCCCTGGAAGGACACCTTGCGGGGCAGGGCCAGGCACAGCTCCTTCCAGAAGTCCGATGATGGGGTCTGTGTGGGGCAGGGAGGAGATGAGCTGTGTCGGGACCACCACGAAGCCAAGCCCGGCCCCGCATGGGACTGGGGAAGGCTTTCTGGGGCTCGGCTCACTCTTCCCAACGCTGGGAGCTCAGCCAAGGTGAGGGCTGTTCTCCCGGCATGGCAGTGCGCCCACACGCTGGTGGAGAAACCGGCCCGACCTGCTGAAATGCTCCCGAGGGCTCCAGCACCCAGCCTGGCCCTGAAATGGCCACAGCAGCCACGGGCCAAAGCTTCGCTCTGAGAGCTGGGGCTTCAGGCTGGCGCCTCGGCTGGGGGAGACCCCGGAGTGGCACGGGGCTCCTGCAGGTCTGGGGAGCGAGCACCCAGATCTGGGGCTGTTTCTGGTGTTGTTTTTTAAAATTGCCTCTAAAAGATGAGTGCCCCAACCTGCTTTTTAGGAGCACTGAAGCACAGGGAGCAGCCCTGGAGCATCACGGGGAGGCTGACACAAAACAGGGGTCTGGGGATGGAAATGGGGGTGCCAGTGGGACGGGGTCCTGCTCCGCTCTCACCATGGAGCCAGCTCGCCACACCAGCAAGGTCACTGCGCTCCGGTGCTGCTTCAGCAGGCTGATGGCGGGGTGGGCGATCTCCCGGTACTGACTCTCGAAGACAATGAAGATGGGTTTCTTGGAAAGCTCCAGCAGCCTCCAAAGCCCTTCCCTGTGAGACAGGCACATGGCAGGAGGGCAAAGGACCCACTGGCCCCTCTCCCCCGGCAGCAGGCAGGAGCTGCTCCTACCTGAAGCTGCTGTTGCACCAGTCTTGCTCCAGGTATGCGACGGAGAGGACCACGATGAGACGCCGGCACCGGCTCACGTTCATGATCAGGTCAGCCGATGGCTCTGCGGGCAAAGGGATTTCAAGCCCCCAGGTGCTGGTGTCGCACCTCTGCCCGACCCCACGCGGGTCCGGTGCCTACCGGAGTTGGGCAGGATAGTTTGCTCATCCAGGAAGAGCTTGTAGCCGTAGCGGTTCTCCAGCTGTGGCTTCACAATGAAGTGGACAAACTTTCGGTCATCCGGGGCGGTGGCGTGGGAGACGTAGGCGTCGTACAGCTTCCCGTCTGGGGAGAGCCACGGGGAAGGGGGATGTAATGCCGGGGAGGGCTCTGCACGTCAGTGAGCCCCTGGCCCAGGGGAGGCTTTTCCCAAGGTGGGCACCGCCTCCGTGCCCTTCTCCGGCAGCTCACCGTTGATCTCCAGCTCGCCGTAGCGGTTCCGGTACCAGAGGAGCACGCTCAGGCGGCATCGGACATAGAGCCCGGCCAGAAGCACCAGGAGCACCAGGACCAGGAGGGCTGCCAGCACCGCGGGCACGTGCCCTGCTGCCTCTGCAAGGACGGGGAAGGGCACGCTGAGTGTGGCCGGTGGCCCCTGGCCCAGGTTTTCTACGTTTGTGCCGCAATACACTGCCCTGGGAGAGGCAGCGATGATCCCCATGGGGCTGCCAGTCCTGCCCTGTGTAAGCGGGTCCTCCTTGGAGGTGTCCCTTCTCTGTCCCCGGCATGTCCCTACCCACTCGCCGCAGGGTGAAGGTGGCCGTGGCGTTGCTGACCCAGCAGGCAAACACCCCAAAGTCGGCATCGTGCGTGAGGTTGAGCTGCAGGACGCTGGCGAGGAGCCGCTCCGAGGCATTTTGGGCAAACCTGGGGGGAGACAGGACCGCGGTGGGCTGGGCCGTGCGGCGACCCATGCTGACAGACAGACGGATGGATATCCCCCAGAGCAGGCTCCTTACCAGGTAGTGTCCTGGCTGCTCTCGCTGCCCAGCCATTGCCCGTCTTTGCTCCAGGTGGGGACGGGCTCGCAGTGCTCCGCGGCCGCCCAGTGCACGGTGCAGTTCAGCGCTATCTGGGTCCCCAGCGCCAGCTCCAGTGTCTCATTGGTGGCCGGGGCAAGGATTTTGGGGGGCACACTGCAAAGGTCTGGGGGCACAGCAGGAAGGGGGTTTCGGATGGGAAGGCTGAGCCACCTCCCAGCTGGGCGGGCAACTGTTGTAGCCATCCCGGCTTCCCCAGAAAAACAAGCTCTGCCGCGGGGGTCTGGCAGTGAGCAGCGCTTGCGGCTGTTTTGCAACAGGCTGAGCTGGTTTTTGGGGCTGGGAGAGACCCTCACCCACAAAGCTGGGGCGGCGAGCCGGATCCCTTGCCGTGCCTGCCAGCCAGGAGTCCTTCCCAGCTGAAAATGGGTGAAAGTTTCGATTTTGCAGCTTACCTGCCATGGCGTGCTCAGGTGACGTGTAGGGGAGCTGCCGGCATCACCAGGG